TTTATGATGAGCAGTGAAAACGGGACATATACGATGAGTAGTTAACGGGTCATTCAAAGAAAATATATAGTTAAACATAGTATATACTATGTATATAGTATATATACTATGCATGTATAGTATATATATATATACGTTCTTTGGATAATTTTTGGTGTTGGCGATAATTTTCAAAGTCGCGCCAAGGCTGCACCGTATACTAGGATTTTACTCCGTTATTTTGAAGTGGACAAGAAAGCGGTGAGAAATTTGCGCAAACAAAAGGATGTGTTTAAAAAGCATGGGAATATTGCCGTATTAAAAAAACGTAATTTCGAACCTATAGTCCGCGGACTATCCGGTGGTGTGGACTATCTGACAATTTTTAAATTTTTTTTTTATATAAAATCGTGTCTGCGGACTATACATGCGAAATTACGGTAGTTCTATATTTCTTAAGACGCCATTGAAATACTAGTTTAATTTTTAAATCCTACGGATTTAACAATTTGGGAGTTGCCTATGACGAAAAGTCTGCAATAGAATTTTGGGTAAAGTGCAGAATCACCCACTGCTTGACACGTTTTTAAGAATTGCATATATTCCGTATCCATGTACACATCGACCTATTTTCACTTAAAAATTAAACAAAAATTGACAAATATTGAATTGTTTTTACCTTGTAAAAAGCGGCAAACAAACAAGTGGGCGATTCTGGACTTTACCATGAATTTTTTCAAAAAGGCATCACTCATGATAGAAAATTATGTCTGAACAACCAATGAGATGAAATTATGCTTCATCGATAACTCAGTAGAGAAATAGCGATGCAGGCATCCATTCATTTATGTTTAGCAATTGTTATATAAATTATAATAATGATCTGAAATAGTTATTTACTCTTATGCTTCCATTCAGTCATGTTTAGCATTTTTATATAAATTATAATAATAAAAAAGTATTATATGAAATCAACTTTTCATCTAAATTAAAACACTAATAATCTTAGCTAGTTATTTATTATTATACTTCCTTTCTTGCATTAGGGTTGCCACAATAATTTTTGGCAGCACTGGCATCAACAATACTTTGGAGATTTTTTATGGCACTCAAAACCGAATAGTACCGTAAAAGCCATGCCTTGAACAAATGTTTATTGTCTAATATATGTAAAGACATGGAACCCAAATACAAAACTTGTTATTATATGCAGAAGTAAGATGAATGTCAAGAAGGCAAAGCTTAAGATTATAATTAATAAAAGATATAATTATTGTATTTTTATCTAGACAATAATCTGAACTTGCTGCTTTTTTTAAATGACTTATGACTCTCAAACTTGTGTTTTTTGTCAGATACTTTTGAGATAATAAATAATTTTAACTTGTCTCTTTGAGGAAAATTTAGCAATATAAGTACTTCAAATGATAAAACTGATCAGAAGATTAGAATGGAAAATGATTCATTCAAAATGTTTTCAACTGTTGAAAATTTTATTATTGAAAAAAAGTAATTGCAAAAATTATTACAGATAACTTAAAAATCATAGTAACACAGTTTTGCAAATATTTTTTATGAAATTTATGAAAGATGGCTTGGATTTAAAAAGAATACTTTGAGCGACATGAATGAGATTAAACATTTACTATATAAAGACCTAGAGGAACATACTAAACTCTCGATGGACTAAAATTTAAATCGTTCATTTCTACAAAAATCCTTGACAGTATTCTGGACTACAGATAAAACTGAATTAGAGACAATTTCTGAATGTTCTGCCATTTAGCACCACATACTTACATAAAATGATTTTTCAGCTTTAATGCATATTACATGCAAATATGCTGAAAAATGTTGAATGCGCTTTATGTCCAGCAGCATCAAATATTGCGCTAAGATTTTATTTGTTTTGGCGCAAAAACTAAGCACATCCACACGATTTCCTTTCATATATTTTTTTATATCTGAAGCAAATCCTAAAACTATTTTTTTTATATTTTTAGCAATGAAATAAATGATCAATAAGAAAATATTTATTTTTATTAGTTCAGATGGTTATTAGTCTTAAACGGCATTTTGCATTGAATCACTTTTCAGGTTGTTGCCACCAGATATTACCGACCTGTACTAAAGAAAGTAAATAATGAAAAATCTGCATGAATGTATGCATGTTTCTCACACTGTTCAAAAAACGTAGAGGGACCTAGAGCCATCAAAGTTTTAATAACGTAGTCCTCCAACTGAATAATATAACCTGGAAACCCTAATTTGGATTAGTTTTATTGTCTATTTTATATTTTGTAAAACTTAGGAATTTTTGATTAACAAAGTCAACGATTTCAAAGCAAGCAGTGGCAGCACTGTATGGAATGAAGCATTTTTATCTCTGCATGAATTTTTGATTAACAAATCGAGGAATGGCAACACCATAAAGAATAAAACATTTTATCTCCAAGCAAGACAGTCCACCGGAATTTTAAGGATATTTTACATATTTTCACAGGGGGCGGTGGCCAAAATGTTTGCAAGATGTGTTATGTAAATGGAAAATGTCCCTTTAAACGCAATATAAAATCTGAAAGTCTTCAGTTTTTTTAATCTGTATTTTATATTTAGTCTCTGGGATAATCAAAAGGGGTCATAAATGAAAACGGTTTAAGAACTGCCACCTGAGAGCTGTTCAGCAATCATAGAAGTTATTCTAGATATTTGCTAAACAGTTTTCGACAAACTGATACACCTATGTTCAGAGTTAAAGTACATGTGTTGTCCTTAGCTGCTATAACAGTGTTCATATTTTCAAGAAAATTTTTTCATCATACTGCTTAAATTATTTTGTTTATTTTTCAGAAACAAAGTATTCCCAAGTTTACAAAATGGAAAGAAATTTCACCTTAAAATAAAAATTGATTACATTAGTTTTCTCTCACCATTACACGAAAAGGAAAAATATATATATACACATAACTTCCGGTATTTTTAATAAATACTCAGTATATATAGATTTCTTACCGGAACAGAAATGATGTTTCCCAAACTTCTTTTTATATGCATTAGACATATGGGATTGTTCTACTTGGTATGTCCAAGGTTTGACTGAAAACGTTTGATGTTTCATTTCACCTTTCTAACAATGCTCTGGAACTCTACACTGGCTTTGTGAATGTTATATACTGACATATTTGATACTGGAGTCGGATAGGCATAATGTTCAACAGTGGTTTACCACGAAAGGAAATACTAATACATTCTTCATGACAGGGAACAAGAATGACATTTCTGGCAGAACTGTAATTCGTAACTGCATTAAATTCAGAAACAGCCAATTTTAACACCACACACATATAATTTACAGTATATATATATATATATATATCGGATGAAACATTATACATCTTTTACAGTTTCAGTTTTTGAAATTCTTATCTAGCTAACACACGTCATTATGCAACAGATATAAATACTGAATACTAATTATCAGGTAAAAATATCTTGAAAACTATTTCATCTTGTAGAAACAAATGAATGGTTTATAATTCATTTTCATCAAATCAGAATTTATGCATGTCCCACAGGGTTATCAGTAGTTTTTATGCCATTCGGATATGCCTCTTTTGCCATATCTAAATTCTCCTATTTAATGAGAAAAATCCAGATTTGACTTCACATTATGAGGTTTCCTAACTGCACAGTTAAATGCTTATTGTAAGGTTCAGAATTTTTTTTTTCCCCCTAGTTGATGCTTAAAAGACAGGAGATTTCTCTTCTGCATAGATAAGAGAGAAATTCTCCATCACCCTAAATAACATTTTACATACTCAATCATAATATTTGCTTCCTATGTTGATATCCATATTTAAATACTCTTTATGAAAATGGAATAATGTTATCTCCCTAACACAGATTTTCTCTCCAGTGTGAATAAGCATATGTTTCTTTAAATTACCCATTTCAGTAAACATCTTCCTACATACTTCAGAAACATAAGAATTCTTTCCTGTGTAAATGCGCATATGCACGTTTAAATTATTTTTTTGATTAAATAATTGGCTAATCTTTGGAATATGGTAACAGGTAGTTTGGCGACATTTTGGTAAGGCGATAAATGTTACTAGCTAGGACTTTAGCAGTGTACATGGATAAAGTCAAGAGTTCGCAATGCCATTTTTGTGCAATTTTGGGATTTTTTTAAATTCAAAATAGGTCGACTTGTAGATGGATACCGTGTATGTGCAATTCTTAAAAACGCGGCAAGCAGTGGACGATTCTGCACTTTCTCCCAATTCCGCACCTAATCTTGGTCATGATTAAGCACTTTTGTTCCATAAAAGTTCTAGCCTAAGCGTAATTCGGTTAGCAGATTGTTGGAAAAAATGTTGATAAAAAAAAAAAAAAAAAAATACCTTTTCTTCGTGAAAACAAAATGGCGTCCAAAAACCAACTAGCAGGTTACTGTAGCAGGGTTGGTCACCAAATTTTCACCATGTTACCATAATCCAAAAATTAACGAAATGATTTTTTTACATACTTCACACATATGTGGTTTCTCTCCTGTGTGAATGCACATATGCACTTTTAAATAACTTTTTATATTAAATAAGTTCTTACATACCTCACATATATGAAATTTATCTCTTGTGTGAATAAGCATATGGTTGTTTAAACTACCCTTTTCACTAAACATCTTCTTACAAACTTTACATGTATGTGGTTTCTATAAAGAGTGAATACGCATATGCACATTTAAAATCCTTTTTAGATTAAAATGATTTCTTACAAACTTCACAAACATAATGTTTCTCTCCTGTGTGAACAAGTATATGCCTGTTCAACTTACTTTTTTCGCTAAACGTTTTCTTACAAACTTCACACGTATGTGGTTTCTCTCCTGTGTGAATGCGCATATGCACATTTAAAGCACTTTTGTGACTAAATGATTTCTTACATACTTCACAGAGATGTGGTTTCTCTCCTGTATGAATAAGCATATGCACATTTAAATTACTTTTTATATTAAATGATTTCTTACATACTTCACACATATGAGGTTTCTCTCCTGTATGAATAAGCATATGCGCATTTAAATTACTTTTTATATTAAATGATTTCTTACATACTTCACACATATGAGGTTTCTCTCCTGTGTGAAGGTGCATATGCACATTTAAAGCCCTTTTCTTATTAAATGATTCCTTACATACTTCACAGAGATGTGGTTTCTCTCCTGTATGAATAAGCATATGCGCATTTAAATCACTTTTTATATTAAATGATTTCTTACATACTTCACACACATGAGGTTTCTCTCCTGTATGAATAAGCATATGCGCATTTAGATTACTTTTTATATTAAATGATTTCTTACATACTTCACACATATGAGGTTTCTCTCCTGTGTGAATAAGCAAATGCGCATTTAAATGACTTTTTTGATTAAAAGATTTCTTACATAATTCACACATATGAGGTTTCTCTCCTGTGTGAAACAGCATATGCGCATTTAAATCACTTTTTAGATTAAAAGATTTCTTACATAATTCACACATATGAGGTTTCTCTCCTGTGTGAATGCACATATGATTATTTAAAGCACTTTTGTGATTAAATGCTTTCTTACATACTTCACAGAGATGTGGTTCCTTTCCTGTGTGAACGCGCATATGCACACTTAAAGTACTTTTGCGATTAAATGATTTCTTACATACGTCACAGAGATGTGGTTTCTCTCCTGTGTGAATAGCCATATGTGCATTTAAATTACTTTTTATATTAAATGATTTCTTACATACTTCACACATATGAGGCTTCTCTCCTGTGTGAATAAGCATATGGTTGTTTAAACTACCCTTTTTACTAAATGTCTTCTTACAAACTTCACACATATGTGGTTTGTCTCCTGTGTGAATAAGCAAATGAGCATTTAAATTACTTTTTACATTAAATGATTTCTTACATATTTCGCACATATAAAACTTCTCTCCTGTATGAATAAGAAAATGTGCATTTAAATGACTTTTTTCACTAAATGATTTCTTACATATTTCACACATATAAAATTTCTCTCCTGTCTGAATAAGCATATGGTTGTTTAAACTACACTTTTTACTAAACGTCTTCTTACAAACTTCACACATATGTGGTTTCTCTCCCGTGTGAATGCGCATATGCACATTTAAAGCACTTTTGTGATTAAACGATTTCTTACATACTTCACACACATGAGGTTTCTCTCCTGTGTGAACGCGCATATGCACGTTTAAAGAACTTTTTTGATTAAATGATTTCTTACATACATCACACATATGAGTTTTCTCTCCTGTGTGAACAAACATATACATGTTTAAAGCACTTTTTTGAGTAAATAATTTCTTGCTTACTTCACACATATGGTGTTTCTCTCCTGTCTGAATAATCATATTCCTCTTTAAATGACTTTCTATGACTTCTTGCATGCTTCATATATAGGAGGTTTCTCTCCTGTTTGACTGCTAATGTTCCAAAAAAAATAAATAAAAAATAGAGGAAATAATACAGTACAGTCCAATCACAAACATTTTCCTGCCCGGAATTGAGGCATGCATCAAACTCTAAACGAAGATTCGAATCTTTCACTTAAATTCAGATTTATTAATCTTTACATCTGAAACCAAACCAAAGCTACATCCTCAAAACTAATTCATAATATACAGAACATTGCCCATGCCACATATAAAAAAACTTAAACATATAAATAAAATCTCTAAAATTACTTCTCATTCGAGAGTGACGTCATATTTCATGGACAGACAGGGAAGCGACTAAATTTCAACTCGGCAGGGAAATTTTATTCTTCAAAAATATACATCATGTGCGACGTCAAAATTGTCGTGTTTAGCTTTACACCTAAGGATTGTCTGCCATTTTCGGAGTCTTCACAATTATGTACAGGAAATGCGAAATTTGTACGGGTCATTCGGTCCTGATCCTTTGTGGATGAAGGTGCTCGCTATGAGCCAGACAGCCGAAGTTCCTTTGCCTAACGGCGATTCTGATAACCTCATGGACAAAAACAATCATGCGGATGCTAACCCTACGGATAACGATTGCAATGGAGTGCCTAGTAATACTGCTTCCACCGTAGAATTACCCCTGGAAGTTATGGGTTCCAGAATTGATTTAGACCAGATATAGACAATTCCAGATATAGACATACAAACTGCTCAAATTAAAAGCGTTGACAAAGTAGACACTAGAGCTGGAGCAAACCGCATGTATTCGTTACTGAGTAACGGGTACATCGGTTGACTCGAAGTACCGATTCGGTACTCACAAATTCATTTCGTTACTCGCATCTGTTCGTTACTCGCATCTGTCGTACGATGCGGTTTGTTCGAGTACAAATGATGCGGTTTCTATGCGAATACGAATGATGCGGTTGCTGTTCGAATACGAATGATACGGTTGCATCACAATGCGCTCATATTTTTCATAGATAATTTTTGAATTTTTTTGGGCATCGGGCAAACTCTGTTTTACATTATGTGTTTTTAGTTGAAATACTATTTAGTTGTTGATATTTAAGAAAATGAGCAATTTTGATAGCGTGAAGCGTTATTTTGTATTTGCTTTTTACTATTGCTATTTATGTTTTGTAATTTGAAAATTTAGATGATTCATCTTTTTTTTTTTTTTTTTTTTTTTTTTTTTCCTTGAGCGTGCCATAGTCAGATTTTATTGATTTGAAATATTTATATACTGCACTTAGGTATGGTTTATATAAGAATATGCAGGTTAATATAGGTTCTTTACTTCCTTGTATCAAATAAAATGGTAGTAATTATTGTAATCGAGAAAACATTTGGGTATCATATTTCAACGGAAATATCTATTTTTTACGATTACGGAATCCACGTGAACATTTTTTTTCGGGTGACGTCTGTACGCACAAACACAATGAAGGACTCTTTTTTTTTTTTTTTTTTTTTTTTTCCAAAAATGGATTGTTAAATGTAATAACATTTACTCTGAGCCTGATACTTATAACTAATGATTATGAAGAGACATAATCATATATGACTAATGATTATGAAGTTGATACTTGAAAGGGATTTTTTTCGTTATGTGTAAGTACGTACGTATGCATTTTGCATAACTGAAAAACGATTAGTTGTAGAACGTTGAAATTTTGTATATGGGACCGTTATAACAATTAGATGTGCACCTCCCTTTTTATTGCAATCGGTAATACCAAACGTAAATATGTTATATATAATATCAATAAATTATAATTAAATGTAAATTACACACACACACATACTTTGCTTGATATATATATATAAATAAAAGCCAAGTAAGGCGAAAATAAAAGCTTTGGCTTTTATTTTATTTAATTATTCACTAAATAAGTTACTTGACTTTTATTTTCGCAATCATTGGTTGTAGTCAGGAACTTAATTTTTAAAATTAGAAGTGCTGGAGCTCTATGGAAGGCAATCAGGAAAGATGAATAAATAAATAAATAAATAAAAATAAATAAAATAAGTATTACAATAATAAAATAATTAGCAACTAGAATATTAAATTATTATTATAATTCAATAAAAATTAAAGACAAATGAAAATTTAATTAATGAATAACTAAGTAATGAAATAAAATACCAAACATCGTCTTGTTTGGGGGCTGTGGCTAAATTGCAATTTAAGAACTAAGCCGAGCATAAGCTAAATTTAGGCTTTTTGATGAGCAAATAATGTACTGTTTACCAGAGTATAGATAGAAATTTGGTTTATGTAGCCCATTCTTCTAAAACGACGTTTCGTAGCTGCCTTCCACACCAATTCCTTTTTTTTTTTTTTTTTTTTTTTTTTTTTTTTCGGTTTCGGTTTATTCGGTTACAGCAAAGCACACTAGGCTATTGCCTACGGGGAGGGAGGCCTTCGTGTAGGATTTTTTAAAGGGAAACTGACTCATATGCAAGTTACACACGGGAATAACAATGAAAACGCCCGTGCAGCTAGCCGTTAGCCGGGAATTGAACCCCGGACCGAACTATTAGTGCTCAGCGACTTTACCGCTCGAGCTCTGGTGGGCTCTTTTTTTTCTTTTCATTCGCTGTTTGAAAAACGGGTGTTCACGATAAAGTAAGGACATGTTTACTTGAATTAAAATGGGTTAGACGATGTGACTCTTCCTACTTTAATCTCACTTAGCTTTTGATTTCTAATATTGATTCAATGTTTTCTGTAGACAAAGTATTCTGATTAGAATAATAGATTTCAAACATGTTCAAAAGGTGTGTATCTGAATATAATTAGGTTTTTTATAACATAGGGCCCATTTTATTAGTTTCACATAGTTCTAAAGCAATTGAACCACAGCATCGCTGTTTTGAAAGAAAGTAAAAATGTGAGAAATGTATAATGAACATTAATATACAAGCTTTATTAAAAGTAGTCAGCCTTTTAAAACGTGACCGTCTATGCTTTTAGAGGATTTTTGGAGCTCTGTGCATTTGCTCTAGCATCTTAAAAAAGTGATGTTCAATATCAACGTATGTTTATGTTCTCAAAAAATACAGGTCTCTTTCAGAAAGCGACCTCTTAGAAGTCGTCAATAAATGATTCAGTATTAGTTATTTTCTAATAGACCATAGAATAAATTTATTTTAACGTCAATTTAAAAATGGCTGCTTGTACTAAGAGTTAAGAGCAATAAGACTCTAATTTTTCTTTCGCAATTAGCTATCATGCCAGCTGAATTGTTTTCTGCATAACCTTTATTGTGTATAATTGAAATATTTAGCTATGCATTCAACAAATATACAACAAATGTAAGACAAATCATTAAAAAAATTAAAATTTGGAACATTAATGATAATTTTTTTGTTATACATAAAATATTATTAATGAATGATGAATTTATATCATATTATATATAAATCAAAATTTAAACTCCTATTCATTTATAAATTGAAGAAAAGCTATAAAAAGAATTAATTTTTAAAAACAAAACGAAAATTTAAAAAAAAAATTTGTTATATACCTAGAATCTAAAAATGACGAATACTGAATTTTACGACTCATGTGTGTATGGGTGCACTTAATTACGGCAAGGCACACTATGGCTATCTGCCTAATGGGGGATGCCTTCGTGGAGGACTTTCTAAGGGAAACTGGCTCGTATACACGTTACACATGGGGAAAACCACGAAAACACCCATGTAGCCAGACCCTTCGCGGGATTCGAACCTCGGACCGAACTACCAGTGTTCAGCGACTTTACCGCTCGGCCGCTGGTGGGCCGTTTTACGACTCATATAATAATAAATGCATATTCATATTGTAACAGAAATTTTGTTAGAAGTCTAGCATATGTATAGTTATTTGTGATCTTTTAAAACTGTCGTAACATGATGCATATTTATCATTATCGTGAACCAAAACAGTATGCTTTACATCCTTACAAATATACGTGATAGATTTTAATATTTATTTCTGCATATACTTACGTTTCCCAAAGACACGAAAGCAAGTCAAGCAGATTTTTGTTGTATTAAGCAGACTTAAGTTCTCTGTTAGCTAGTGTAACATAATTTCGGATGTTAGTGTAACATAATTTCGGACTTCTATGAGCCTTCCAGAATTATTAGCAAAATAGTGGAAACGTCTTTACAAAGTGTTTTTATAAGCAAACAGCAGATGTACACTGAGCAGTGATCAACTGATATATTTCTTAAATGATTTGGTTTAGTTGATTATGACAAAACACACTGGGGCTATGTGCCTAAAAGGAAAAATGCCTTCGTAGAGCACTTTCTTAGGAAAGCTGGCTCGTATGGTACGTGGTAAGCTGGCTTGTAAGCTGGTACGGGAAAAAAAACCACGAAACGCTTATGAAGCCAACCCGTTTGCCTGAGATCGAACTCAATACCAAATCCACAAATAGATGATAAACAATTGAAAATTTAAATGTAGATCGAACCAATACTTTCCCAAATACAAATACTTTCTGTATTTGTATTTGGGAAAGTTTTATGGTCATTATGAAAAAGTGAAAATTTGATATGGATTCCGCATGACTTCCTTCTACGACTATTTAAATTATGCTTATTTTTTCTGCACTTCATTTAAACTTATTTCCTCGAATTATTCTAACTCAATTAAGCGATACCCAAAGGCAAGTTACAAATGGCATCAAACATTGCAAATTTTGAAACTAAATTTCCTGGTCAATCTTTGTCCTACAGGACTCAAACTTCTTGTATTTTTCTTTTTCATAACGAAGTATAAAACTTTGCCAGATATAAATATAGAAACCAGAAGACGACATTAAAAGTTAGATTTCATAATTTGTCCAAAATAATTCTTTTTTAAATTTGACATTGACAAAATATGAATATTTTCGTCATTTAAAATACTTCTGTATTTTTGTTGCACCGTATTTAAACTTGCTTCCTCGAGTTATTGACATTAAATTACATTAATTCCATTATCTATCGGAAAATAATTATAGCAAATCATCTATTTACGACATCTCTAAGAGGTCACCTTTTAAGAGATCTCTATTTTTTGGGAACATAAACAAACATTGGTAGTGAACATCATCTTTTTAAGACCACCACAGGTAAAATCCTCTAAAAGCATGAATGGTTGCATTTAATAAGGATCCATTACTTTTAATAAGGAATGTAACATTAATCTTAATTATACATGTTTTTGATGTGTGTGCCAAAATAGTGATAACGTACTTCTGTTGCTTTAGAAATGTGTGAAATTTTAAAAAAAATGGATACTATACAACAAAAATGTTATTATATTCAGATACACACCTTTTGAACACGTCTGAAATTCATTATTCTGCTCAACATAATTTGTCTGCATAAAATATTAAATAATATTAAAAAATCAAAAGCTAAGTCGAAGTAGAAACAGTCATCTCTTCTAAACATTTTAATTGAAGTAAACAGACGTTCGCCTTATCGTAAAGTAAACACCTATTTTTCAAACAGCGGATGAAACGGGAAAGAGGGAATTGGTGGGGGAAGGCAGCGAACGAAATAACACTTTTTCGAGCTGGGGGAGATGAAATGAGAAAGGACGAAACGATACTAAGCCAATAAGACAAGATCTGGTATTTTACTTTATTATTTAATTAGTCATCATAAATTTAAAAATTATTTTAATTTTTATTTGTTTTTACATTTTTATTAAATTGTACTTATAAGTATTTTATATTTCAGTTGCTAATTATTATGTTACTTTAATTATTCATTATTTTAATCACTATTTTTGTTATTTTAATTATTAAGTTTTTTAATAAGTAATTTTTTTGTTATTTTAATTACTAATTAATGTTATTATTGTAATATTTATTTCCTTTCTTTCTTTATTTTTTATTTTATTTTTTCCCATTTTCCTGACGGCCTTCCGTAGGCCCTTCTGACTTTAGAAACTAAGCCCTGACAGCA